ACACAAATTACCTCCTAAACTAAAGGATCCAAGAAGTATCAAAATTTCTTGCTCAATAGAAAATAGCTCTACTTTTAATTGCTTACGTGATTCTAGGACAAGTGTAAATTTAATGCCTATTTTCGTTTATAGGAAACTAGGTCTGGAAGAGTAAAAGGACACAACAATCTCTTTTAACAGGCAGATCGATCAATTAAATACCCTAGAGGAGTGGTTGAGAATTTGCTCATCAAAGTGGGCAAGTTCATATTTCCAGCGTGTTTCATTGTTTTAAACATAGAAGAATACTGGGATGTATCAATAATCTTGGGACGATCTTTCCTATCTACAAGTCGAGTTGTCATGGACATTGAAGCTAGCGAGTTGACGTTGAGGATGGATGATGAGCAAGAGAAATTTCAAGCCTATATCATTGTTGAGAAGCCATCCCATGAAGAGGAAAGCTGGAAAGTTAAGGAGGAAGAAGAAGCCAATGATCATGTAAGGTGCCTACATAAAAAATGAATTGGCCGGATATTTGAAAACATCAAGGATAAAAAAGGGCCTCTTCAAGCATGAAGAATCTAAAATGGGGTTAGTAATGCTGAGTATTGTGTTCAGAGCTTTATCAGTGAACTCCACTTTGAACCACCATGATTAATTCATCCACAAACTCTTGCTAAAGACTTTAAATTAAGCACTTATTGGGAGGCAATCCAATCTCTTGATGTTTTATTTATTATACTTTAAGTAATTGCATTGCATGTAGTTTAATAGGTTACATTTGTTTTAAGCGTGTTTATTTACATAAAATGGTCATCATGTCTACATTACGCCTAGAAAATGAAAAGACATTTATTTGAGTCAAAAACAGTAAAAGAGTCATGTGACACATTTTTCAAAGCTCCAAGGACATAAAAAATTGGTTATCATACACATCGCATTACAGCTTTTAAAATGTTTCTTGACTCTTATATTTTTGTTTTCTTCCTTCGTGCCAAGGTGCAATGACATCAAGTGGGAAGCATCTCAACAAGATGAAAATTGGAATGAACTAATCCAACAAGCTTATCTCCAATATCAAACAAAAATCAGGAAGTGCCCTCTCTTTTTTTTCCCATCCCATTACGTTATTTAATTTTACTTTACGAATTGTGGATAATGTCTACTTTATATTTGTGGTGGAAAAAACATTGAGATTTTAGTTTTATTATTCTTGTGTATTGTGTGTTTTTATTTCTTTATTAAATACAAAAAGAAAAAAAAATTAGATTCAAAAGTCTCTATAGTTTGTTTATTGTTATTAGCTTGTTTGTGTGGGTTAGGTACTATTTCCGTCTATGATGAAAATAATTGAAATTATGTGTTAATTTATGAACTTTGAATAGTTATATGCTTCGATTAATTAATGCTTATTCATGTAAAACTTAATACTATTTGCACATGTGAATTAACTTTACCATTGTGCAGTAATGGGTTGATTCATATATTTGATATGCTGAAATAATAGAACATGGATGCTAAACACAAATACCACTACATTATAGATCACTAAACCAAATTTAAGAATAGTTTGGGGGTAACTGAATTGTTATAGAAAGATCTTGAGATGAATAGGGATTTCAAGTGTGTAAATTCTTGTGTGGATTTTTTAAGATCGATAAGATGAAAATTAAGTAAAAATCCTAAGTTATGGGTTCGTTTTTGAGAATCGATGTTTAATGAGGGGCATTGTACTAATCATTACATAAAAAGGAAAAAAAAAGTTACCATATTGTGAAGGTATCATATAAAAGACCCCAATGAGGACAAATATTTAAAATCCCAAAAAGAAAACTCAAAAAGTGATCAAGCTAGTGTATAAAACAAAATACGCACAGCAAACTTGAAAAAGCATGTGCATAAAATAAAAGATGCACTACATACCTTGATTAAGCACCAAACCTTTATTTGAGAGAATTAGACTTTTGAAAAGGATTATTAACATAATTGAATTTTAGAAGCTGAAGCAATCAAATATTTGAAGAATCGTTATTTGTTGAGGTATGGACTTGCAATTAGTGAAATCTATCCAAACTAAAGAGGGTGTGGATTATATAAAATTCAACATTAGATCACACATTGGGAAATAAGTTAAAAGAATATGTTTGGGAATGTTATCTTACAAGTGAAGAAATGACAAATTTGTTTATTGAATCAATTTGTGAATTATATAATGTTTTTCTTGATTCTTCACACACACATATCAATTTTGCATTGGATAAGTAGATTTTAATTTTAGTATTGTGATGTTGAAGCTATTTATAGATTTAATACAATGATTCCAATCCTGAGACAAACAGTTGGTTATCTGACCAAAACTTTGTGCATGCTTGTTTGCTGAGATATATTATAATTTTGTTTTAGGACAAACAAGTGTTCAAGTTTGAGGTGTTTTATAAGTGTATAGAAATTTAGGAGTTTTATGGTTAATTATTGACTAATTTCTTGTATATTTTATTTATTAGATGAAACTCGATAATTGAAAGTGAAATTGGATGAAATGAGCAAAAACGTGGGAAAATGAAGAAATTCAAAGTTCAAGGACCAAAGTGCAAACATTCAAGTTGATTTAATCCACAAAACGGTGATTGAAGATCAAATAGGATTAACTAGATGTAATTAGAAATCAAAAAGCACAAAAATATAATCAAAGTATTTACACAAGTTATGCTTCATATTCTTAGCCATTGATTGAGATCCATTTTTGGCATAATAAATGTTCGAATTGGAATTCATTATTTTAGAATAATTATATCCCTTTGAGTTAGCTTTCAATGCTTTTTGAATCGCCCCAATTGAATATCAAAAAAGAAATATACGACAAAAATATTGACGGTTGCATAGAGACATAATCATACACGACGCGAATACAACTTCCTTAATTATTTGATTGGAATTCTTTTGAAACCCAATTTGAACGTGTTTCTTAACCTGATTGCACCTTTTATAAATCAAGAACATGGACAACCATTAAAGACACCTCTCTTGCTCTATATTCATCAATTATCACAATAAAAGATAGGCAAAATCATTATTTTTGTGAGAGAATTAAGGGGAATTACAATATTTCTATCAATTGAAGATCTCCCCTTGCTTATTGGGGAAAGAAGAAGAATGTACAACGGGGTTCAATCAAGAAATCGTTAAAGAGATTCAAAAAGTTCAAGATTCATCATCTTTTCCTTTATCTATGAAAAAATCAATGATATTCTACAAAGTAATTATGATTTCTTGTACTTTTGCAATGCTGGGCTAGAATTGCACTTACCGAGACATATATGAACCCTTATCATGAAATTCTTAATATAAATTTACGCCCAATAGGTGTTTATTTTTGAATGATTGTTATTGTGTTTAATACCTTTAAATGACTTGACTTGATCAATAATTGGATTGAATTGTGAATTTTATTATTATCGAGAGAGACAATAAAATAGATAGCACTTGTAACAACAATTGTGAGATTCTAGAAGGGATAGAGATATATCTCTATACTTTACATGATTTCAATGTTCTATTATTTTTAATATGTGCTTTCATGTTCGCATATTTCATAGAGATATAGGAATGTCATGTAAAAGTATATTTAATTCTACTCGAGAGAGATTACTAAATAATTTAGGAACATTGATCAACAATAATGTATACATTGGATTGTATTAAAATGGATTAATTAGGGAAATGCGAGGTCTTAGTAAATCATCTTACCTAATTTTACAAAGAACTCTTATAATTTGCTCGGTAGAACAGTTAGTTTAATTAGAAAAATTAGTATAAGTTCTTCATACAAAATTGGCTATTCGATTAGATTTAAAATTAATTGATTATTAATTAAGTACATAATTCTCGTGAGAACGATACTGTAGTTATCACTTTATTACTTGTTCATGCTAACATAAACTTGCGGAATTTCGTACAATCACTACCCAATATTCATTTTTCCATTAAGATAAATCTATAGTAAAGTTGAGTTTTTAAGTGTTACTATGAATTGAGTTTTTGATAGAGAACTCATCTGTCTTCTGCCTTTACTGTACTTGTGTGATTCACTGTTTAGTAACTTATCACCGTAATTTAATGTGAAACTTACATTCCAACGGCAGAAATAATAAAAGCACCGTTTGCCCCCGTTGGACAACCATTATTTTAGAACTCCTTGATTTTCATACAGTCATACTCATTTTTAACCATATTTATATGATAAAATATTTCGCATATAAATCCAATTTTTTTTTTATTTTTTTTTAACCACAGATCCTCCAAAAAATCACTATTCAAAACTCCATTTTCTCAAAATAATGGTTGTCAAACATGGGCAAAGCCTTTTTCTTCTGCATTGCTGAATGTCTTGTTGGAATTTGGACCAACTGGTGGCCTATTTATTTTTGGCAGCCAAGAACATATAAAACTCAAGAAAATTTGTAACAACAGATACACCCACAACAGCTTCTTTAATATCCCCCTAATATTGTAGTATTTCTGTCAAATACATACGTGTAGAATTTTATAAAACCCCTGAGAGAACAAGCTCTTATTCTTTCTTCTATAGAGAAGGCATAGGCAGATCATTTGTCACCAGCTTGAAAGAGTTGATGCCAAACATAAGCTGCATGCTCAATTAGGTTCCTTTCTAGAGATTAAACAGAATTATTATAAACAGAGAGAAGTCCAAAACATCACTAGCCAAGCAAAAACACAGCAAGTATTATGTCTTAGAATCTATGCAAGATTTCGGTATTGAAATTTGTCCGACAAGATTATTATACTGAAGGAAAAGAATAACAATGGAACTACTTGGTTGTGTACAAAGTTGAGGCATATCAGAGAGCCTAAACGGCAGAATCAAAATAGCATAGAAGATAAAGAAAGATGTGATCAAAAATCATTATAAGGGTTTCAAAACTTTCAGTTGAAGAAAAGAACAAAATTCAAAACTTGCTGCAGCTGGCCTTCTCCATGTTTAACATTACGGGTAACCTTCAGATAGGAGACTTCGTATTCGCATCAATCCCTTGAGGAAAATTAAAATTTGATGGTCCAACGGTATCCACAAATCCTCTTACTGATAATTCAGGTAATGATCCCTTATTTTCCAACATTGCATGGTCTATGAAGATGATAACAACAGTAATGTCATCATGGAAATTTCTCCTGTCCCCCTTATCAAACTTCTTGAGCTGATTATACGTCATCTGTCTTTTCTTGCAGGCCTGTTTCATGGCTGATATGAGAATTCTTCTGGCTACGCCCTGATATTCCAGGAAAAATATGAAGAAAAGAACAAAAGAATATGTTAATCAAAGTGTATATGATAAATAATACTTATGCTCGAAGATAAGAAAATCAGACACACCATTCTTGGATTATTATGGACTATCTCAACAGCATCCTGATTTGTCAAGTATTCCCACAGACCATCAGATGCAAAAATAATGAATTTGTCATTTGGTTGTAAAACTCTTTTGCATATAGATGGATCAGATCTCAAAACAGGTCGACAAAGAGGTTCATGAAGATGAAATCGCGGAAAAGATGGATCAAGAGCAAACTCTGGCCTCTTCAGGTAGGCATCTCCTATGGATCTAGATACCTGAAAATAAACATGGATATAGTCTGGCACAAAATCATAAAGAAAAGAGAACAGCTAAAACATTTGGAGGTGGGGGTGGAGGTGATCAGGAAAACAAAAGATGAGTGGTAGAATGACGGTTACAGGTAAATTTCAAAGCAGGAAAAACTGGAAAAATGTACAGGTGATTATAACAGTACGAACAGCAATGATCAGCAGATAAAAAGGCCATCTGCAGTAATGCAGCTTCAAAAAAAATCAAAAACTTAGTCGATATATTTGCTTGGCACCTTCAATATTTAGAATCAACCAAAATTCCTGAAACAACAGCAATTACAAACTACGTCTTATCCCCAAGAAATTTGGGATCAACTACATGAATCCTTTTTTGCCACTGTTTTCAATTAAAAAAAATTCCCCAAAAGCAATAGACAGAGAAGAAAACAAACTGAAAAGGACAGATATAAGCCTATCTAGAAGATGATAGCATCTCCATTGGATCACTACGGCATGCAGCACTTAAGGTAAAGAAGTAAAGACAAGCTGAAGCAATATATGAAAACAGTACATCCTATTGACAACTCTTGAACTCACTATATGAAGAGTAGACTATCAGTTTAAAAAAATTCCACCTAGAAAAGGGTCGATGCAGCATTCAAGGTTATACTCTTAATTCTACTGATTAGACATAGTTCTAGTCAAACCTATAGGTCCAAATATCAGTTTATGAAACCATAAAATGTATCTTTAATTTAATCAAATTAATAAGATTCATGAGAAACCACAAAATGATGTCTTCATTAAGTTCCAGGATGCAGCACTTTTTGTATCGCAGCATGTCTGACTGTTTTCACAGTTGTATTTGTGCGTGAAGCACACTTACTGGGGTTGGATACCAATTTCCAATTGACTGACTTTGAGAGTGAATCTATAAATAAATAAATAAAATGGAAAGGAGCATTCTACTGATGAGCTCTATCGTCATATGCATTAGAAAATAGTATGCTGATGGCATGTTTGGTGGGGAAATTAGATAGTTCTAGACAGTACAAATGATCCAAAATAAGGTACTGTCCATTTCTAGCCAGAACTATATGCCATACATACATTGAAAGCTTTTCATGGTTAACAGGGTTAAACCTGTATAATGCCTTTGACGCGCCATACCCCTTGCTTCATAACTACAATATGTGAATCTTCTGGATGCAAAGACATGACGCGCCCAGATTTGCAACAAATAGTGTACCTTCCCAGATTACTCCAACTAGACAACAAGATCCAATTGCAGCAATTAATGGTTTAATTTCATATGCCCTTCTGACAAGTGTTAGAAAACCGTCTTCAGTTTCAGAAAAGGCATTCCTCAGAATATCTTCTGATATAGTTCCACTTTCACGAGCAAGTCCTGCGGGGGAAAAAATAAATAAATAAAATTGTGCCATGTCATGTATCAGCCAAATCAATAGACTGGCTTTGGAAAAATGAAATCACTATATAGCATCAATAAACAAAAAGAATGATGAAGAGTGGGATAATTCTTAATAATAAGTCCAAATCAATACGAAAAGAGTCAAAAAAACCTGCATTGAGATCAGCAATAGATTACTTTTAAAGCATATAAAGAAAAAGGCAATAAACTGATGATTGAGGAACATCAAACAATAAAGAGTACAGACATCAAGCAACTCAAAGATAATTATCTACAGTGAATTTTTGATTTGCTAATCCTTTCATTAATCTTATACTGAGCTCCCAGGCAGTACGTAAAAGTGTAAGCTATTTAAATTTAAAACAGTAAAAAAGTGACAAATCTATCTATATAATGACATGCATATATGGAATCGCTAGCTTTAAAAATGGAATAATCAGATTTTCAACAAGTAAAATGACAACTGACTAGAAACAATTGAATCTATTATTGCCTGATGTCTGAAGCGCTGAAAATAAGAGTAACAATAAAGAAAAGCAATCATGATACCACTTGTAAAAATTCTCTCAGTCGATAAAGTAACAATCAAACTGGTGCCTGCAGAATAAAAAATAAAATAAAATGCACAAAAAATACAACGCAACAAGACAAGTGCAGCAAAGACATTCATCAAGAACACGGCAAAATTTGTTTAGCATATAACAAAACTACATCATAAACAGCAAAAAGTTTATTTAAAGTAGGATTTTCCTTCTTTTTCCTATATTCATAAAATTAATATTCCTACAATTACTAGGTATCACATGTATTATCATTACAAAAAAACATGGATATCAAATCCTAATGTAAAGAATTTTTAAATTAAAAAAAATACTCATATTTACCAACCCAGCCTGTGAAACTATATAGGAGGATAAGTCACGGAATACCAAAATCAAATTCATATACTAGCTATGGGGATTTGCCCTTAGTTAAATATGAAATTAATATAAATTGCTTTTTCTCGTTTATTTTAAGTTAGACATAGTCAAAAACTGAGTGGATACAAATAATTTTTTACATTATAACTACAATAAAAAGGAAAAGGAAAGAAACCACACTAATTAGATTTTGAAAGAGGTGGTCACAGATGAATCTAGATGCCTCAGGGCCCCCATGGCCATCATAAACACCAACAAAGGTGGCATGGTGACCAGTCTCAACCTGGCTCTGATCCTCAAGAAATTCATTTGCCTGGACCACTGCAAATGAGAACTCGCCATGAGAATGCTTCTCAAGGTCTTTGCACCAGAGAAGTGCATCATCCTCACCTCCCAAAGAATCATTATCATCCTTGTTCATAAGGACATATCGGCCCAAAGGTCGCAAACATGCGGATGCTATTCTTCCCAACCAAGAAAACATCCCTCATTTCCTTCTTATGCAATGCAGTAGAGGATTTTTGAGGTTGATGCAGAGGACAAATCCACACTGAATCCGTAAGTGTAATACTCCAAATANTTTTAAAAAACAAAATAAAATAAAAATTTAAAAAAAAAAAAAAAAAATAATAATAATAATAAACGGAAAAAAGAAAATCAAGAATCATATTTAATAAATCTAGCCAATTAATCAAGAACAAAAAAATATATATATACAAAAAAAAAAGAGAGAGAACAAAAATGAAGAAAAATCTAAACAGTCTAAAAGACAATGGGTACAATGATTCCAATGACAAGATGCACTAGAAACAAAAAGGAACTGTCAATAAATTTAAACGCAGTAGCATAATATCATCATAACAGTTGATAAATGCCCTGTTCAAGGGAAAGAAACAGAAACAAGGTAAAAACAAAAATTTTAAAACTGATTCAGAGAGCCACGCCCATAGAAATTGTGCCTCAGCAAATTCAATGGCAGGAAAACTAAAAGTCATGGATGCAGAAAAGTAACATAACAAGATACAATGAGAATTATTATTTTTTTACTAAATGTGAACCATTTTTCTTAACAACGTGGGAGGAAAAATACAAGAACTTACTTTAGGAAAGAGCAGAAAAAAGTGAAGGAAAAACAATTTTGACGAAAAAGAATTATTGGTGTAGGAAAATTTGGTCAATTCAGAAAAGACGACTTCCGACTTCTAAAGAGTAAAACCCTAGAATTCCAAGACAGAGACAGAGACAAAGACCCATTACGACCCAGAAAATAGCTATGAATTTTCAGAATGTCAACATCCAATTATTGAAAACTGAAGCAGGACAATCACACAAGTATTGATCATTATATTTCCATAATAAAAGACATTCAAATTCAAGATTGTAACCAAGAAAAAATAAACATAATCAAAATTAAACTTACCAAGATTCTTGTTTTATACGTATAGTACAAGTAGAACCGTAGAGTAAGATATCAAGAACCCAGAATAAAATTGATCAATGCAGAACGTTGGAGATAAAGAGTCGACTATTTTCATAGAAGGAAATCAGAAACATATGTTCAGAATGGATCAAATCAATGCGTAAGACGGAATAGAACAAATTTCTGATCATGATCTTCGTAGAGAACTTGAAAAATTCGAAACCAATACTTTTCTTTTACAAGAAAGAGCAATAGGACAAAGGTGGGGGAGAAAATACGAGAGAACGGATCAGAGTTCAAAAATTACAAGTACAATTGGGCGTTCATATATACATAGCTAACATTTCAAAAATGTTCAAAATTTCAAAAATAGATATTTATTAAAATTTATTTATGAAATAATTAATTAAATATATTTTTTTATTAATTAAATATATTAATGTCACAATTTCATATAATTTGATCACAAATTATATGAATTAATTGGTTATAACTTTTTCTTGATTTTGTTTTATTTCTTAATCACAAACCAATTATATGTCAGCATTTATTTTTCGATCACAATTTACAAATTTTATNGGTCACAATTCAAAAAAATTATAGGTCGCACGTTATTTTTCGATCACAAATCAAAAATTTAGGTCACAATTTATTTTCCAGTCACAAAATCAAAGTGTTTATAAGTTATAATTCATTTGTCGATCACAATTTATAAATTATATAAGTCACAGCACAAATTGTCAAATTATTTTGCATGTTTGGGCCAAATTTTAATCTGATTTTAATCTAAATCAAATTCAAACAATCAATATCAACCATATCTTTCATGAGTATCAACCACACATTTCAAAAACTTTTATCACAATCTATTTAAAATCTGATTTTTATTTACACCCAACACCATCTTAGTAAATTGGGAGTCACAACATATTTTTTTAGGTCATATATCATATATTGGTCACAAATTATCGAATTTACTAGTTACAATCAACCAATTTATTAATCACAAACACTATTGGTCTCACTCGACTGTCGTCGCCACTAACGCCACGACGCTCCTGTACCACAACTGTTTGCGACCACCACCTCACAATTGCCAACAATGCCAGATCCACTACCACACCAGCGCCAAAGTCCACCTGCCTCCGCCAACGCCACCACCATATGAACTGCCACCAACAACGCTCAACTTCAAAATCACCATTTTCAACTTCAAAACCTACACCAGTGTCAACGCCGCCGCCACCGCCACCATCACCCGCATTGCCAACACATCACGACCAACAAAAGCAGCACCACTACCTCCTGTACCAAAAATCACAACCTTCATCTCAATTGCACCACTACAGCAGACTGTAGTCCACAACTGCAACATCGTGCAGCGGTGCTACAAGCATACAAAAGCTGCACCACTACCTCCTGTACAAAAAATCACAACTTTCATCTCATTTGCACCACTACAGCAGACTGTAGTCCACAACTTCGACATCGTGCAGCGGGGCTACAAGCATGCAACAACCGTCGCACGACTTGCAGTAATACTACCAACAGAATATGTAGAATAATTTAATTTTTATAATATTATTAACAATGTTTTAAATTTTATTTATATCTGATTTTTGAAAAGAAATCTTTTAAATCTGAATTTTAAATTGTATAGTTTAAAATTAAGGAGGGGGTAATTTTCATAAAAGAGAGGTGCGTGTTGAAGTGAGAAGTTGATGATAATGATGAGATTTAGCCCCGTTTGACTATGATTATTTGAAAATGATAATAAAATATTTTATACGTAAATTTTAAAAATTTCTCTATTTTTTTAAGAATAATACTATTTAGCCCCACTGAAAATGTCACATTAATGCCACATAAATTGATATTATAACTCTAATTGACTAAATAATATTACTCACTTTTAAATCATACATTTTTTAAAAAATCACTGTTTAAAATTTTGTTTTTCAAAATGATGATTGTAAAATAGTGGCTTAAAAGACTTTCCTAAAATTATATTGACAAGTTTATAGCAAGTTATAAAGCCCAGCCTGGCCCAGCTAGTCGGACTAGAAAATCAGCAGCCTAGACCCTTGATCGGGTCAGACAGATTAATTTGATAAAAATGTACTTGACTTGGTCAATATTGAGATTTGACCGAGTTAACCGGCGATCTAATCGGCCCGGATGACGGGTTTTAGTGGATTTTGAAATTCTCTTACAAAATGTTTGGGTCTCTAAGGAAAATAATGAGTTCCTCACCACTTGAACATAAAGTGCTTTAGTATTATTTATATACAATAACTTATATTTATCTACTAAATCATTTATAGGTTTTATAAAAATATTCTTTTAAAAAAGTTTGGTCCAATCACTTATTTTATTTTATAGACCTAAATAATTAGTGAAAAATAAATTAAGAATTTTAATTTGTCCCAAAAAACAATTATATTATATATATATATACCCCTAAAAAAATGACTAATCAGTTCGATCATTGACTCGCCGATTCAGCCAATACCCCAATACCCAATACCTTGTCAGGGTCGATGTTTGAGTCGAGTCTAATAACTATTGTTTATAGTACCGAAGGATAATCATTGCTCAAATATAATAATGTTCATGACTCATATCCTATCATATCTTATTAATAACACTGTTCGACCCTTTTTTGGTGTAGAATACATTTTAGAATAATAGATTGATGGAGAATATTTGGTTAAAAAATAAGTAAAAATTTTGAATTTATGTGTAATATTATTTTATTGAAGAATGTGGTTGAAAAGAAGAAAGTGAAATTGATTTTATGAGCAGCCATGTGAAGAATGGTCGATTTCAATTAGTGTGCAACATACTCACCTCGAATCGAGTTGAGAATTGTGACATTTACCAATGTGAGGATAAACAAATGTCGAAAAGTCATACAAAGGTACATTTTGGTGTTGATATAATTTAATAAAATTGGGATTGAAAGTATTGAAGAAAGAAATGAGTCGCGAAAGGAATTAGTTAATTGTTTAATTAACTTTTATTTTAATATTAATATAGAATTCAAAATCAGTGTTTTAGCATTTGATGTGTATATAATGACTAAAATGCAGATTGATTATAGGATCTCTTGAAGTATTATTATTATTATTGGTCATATTGCAAAATTTATTCTTACTTTTGTAATAACTATTATTATTTAATATTTGTACAAGACTTTTGTCAAACACATACATTATAGTTATTTAGGGTGTGTTTGAGCCACATTATTTTGGAAGAATGTATTTTGGAATAGTAGATTGATGGAGAATGTGTGGTTGAAAAGAAAGAAAAGTTATTGATGTGATGAAAAATATTATTTTATTGAAGAATGTGTGGTNATTCTGAAATAATAGATTGATGTAGAATTTGTGGTTGAAAAAGAAAGAAAAGTTATTGATGTGATGGAAAATATTATTTTATTGAAAAATGTGTGGTTGAAAATGAATAAAAGAATGAAAATAAAAATTTTAATGTATACCAAACAGGGGCTTAAAAGAAAAGGTTAATATTTATTTAATCTCAGATTTTATACAATTAGAAAAAAAAAAGTAGTCGATAAAATAAAAAATTTAAATAAACTTAGAATACCAAGGCAGAAAATTAAATAATTTTATCAATAGGTCATTAGTTTCAAATATTACAGATTCTTGTCTAATCAAATTTGTACTAGAATAAGTTAATTTGTCAGAAAGCATGTGACAGATAGAGAGCCTGTTTGTTTCAGATTCTCATTTTCTACAGTAAATCAATTCTCATTTTCAACCACACATTCTTCTATAAAATAATATTTTCCATCACATCAATACTTTTTTCTTCTTTTCCAACCACACATTTCCCATCATATCACTATTCAAAAATCAATTANTTTTCAACCACACATTTCCCATCGTATCACTATTCAAAAATCAATTCTTCCCCCAAAAATCCCTACCAAACACACTCAGAGTAACATAATAGTTGTTAACAAGATGTGATTGAATTAAAAAGTTGACTGTATTTTAAACAGTTCAATGATAAATTGTCATGTGATATTATGTTAATCCTTATGTCTATGTAGCATGATTTATGAATATATTTGCTTTAAATCTCGCAATCCAACACATGATCTGATATGATCTAATTTACTCCATTTGTCTCATATATCTCTATTTAACATGTTTTGTTATCAACAAATATGAACGACTCGTATTTAAATAATTACTTAAAACTTATATTTCCAACAATATTAATTACATTTTTTAAATAGGTATCAAAATGAAAGAAAGTCTATTTTTATGTGATTGAGAAAGTATGTGTCCCATAAAAATAATCTTGTTTCTATTTCCACACAAATTAAGAAAACTTAATATATATATATATATATATATATATATTATCTTTTACTTACATTTTTCCTAAAATACCCTATATTAAACAATGGTAGTTTATATTTATATCAATAAGATATATTAAGTAGAGGTATATTAGAAAATTAATATATTAATTATATCAACAAGAAGGTGGCATATAATTTGGAACAAACGAAAAAAGAAATCAAGCATATTTTTATGGGACGGAGTGAGTAACTAATTTCATTGAAACTATTATTCAACATATATGTTCCTTTCCAAAACACTAATCGTTGATTAAGAGAATACCAATAGAAAAGGGGGGAGAATGATAAGTTTACTTACACTTTATGTGACTCACTCCAATAAAAACCAGTCCGGGCTAGCTCATATTTATTATTTATAGAAAAAATTGTAGTTGTGATCCCAAATCTTTCATTTAATTGCACGGTCACGGACTTTTTAATTCATTGTAGCGAGAGGGCAAATCCACGAAGTGACCGTCAGTTGATCAAAGAAATTAGGGTCCGTTTGATTGAAATGGTGGAAAATGGGTGGAAAGAAAATGAATTCCAGAGAAAATAATTGTCTAGAAAATGTTTTGCAGGGAATTGTTAATTAAGTGTGTTTGATTGGTATAATTTCCACTTGAAAAATTTTTAAATTTTGTGTAGATTAAGAGTTTAAGAGTCAAACTTAAAGAAAGATCAAGATGAGAGCCTAAGAGCTAAACTTCTATTTGATTGCAAGGGTGAAAAATGGGTGGAAAGAAAATGAATTCCAGAAAAAATAATTGTCTAGAAAATGTTTTGTAGGGAATTGTTAATTAAGTGTGTTTGATTGGTATAATTTCCACTTGAAAAACTTTTAAATTTTGTGTTCGTTTAATTTTGTTTTATATGAAAATTGTCCATTAAAGTGATAATTTTTTTCCACAATTGGATATAAAATTTGTTTTCATTGTCAAAAAGTTAAAAAAAAAAAAATTGTTTCCTAAAAAATCATTTTTTTTATCAAAGTTTAGTATTCGTTTGGCCTTCGTCTGCATCAAAATTTTCCATGAAAGTGAATTTTTTTTACACTTAATTATGAAATTTGTTTCCATTGCCAAAAAAAAAGCAGACAGAACCCAAAATTCATTTTAGGTGGGAAATTCATTTCCTGCCACGCACGGAAGAAGGTGCATAAATGGAAAATAAAAGTGAAATTTTCCATGCCAAATTATGGTCATGAAACACTACTAAACATGAAAAGTTGGAAAATATTTTCTTTTTCCACTCATTTTCTAGGCTATCAAACAGGGCCTAAAATTCTGACATCTTTGATCAATCTGATAAAGGCAAAATTGTAGCTTAACATCTCTCACATAAAATAATTAAATAAAATAAAACAAAATTTTCATTTCTTTCCCATCCCCACCAAACCCACGGTGAAATCAGCCACCTTCCCCCGCGACCACCTTCCCATCACCGCCTTCAAATCGGAAAGAATGAGTCCGTCACTCCGTGGCAAATAGCCACGAAGTAGTTAATGCAGTACATAACTAGAGAAATACTGCCTCCAAGAAATCGTAGGAAATTCGGCCGATCAATAATTAGAAAACAATATTTACAAATAATTAAGAACAATAATTAAGAATAATATTTACCAATAACGATTCTGAACAATAATTTGAGAAATTCGGCAAGGAATTGAGTCGGTGAGCACCCAAGACTAATTTTCTTGGCGACGTTGATCTGGGCGGTTTCCGGGTCATGATTTTGACCGGATGCAAGTGACAATTGAACTTCAAACTCCTCATTCAAGAAATTAAATCCTACTATNCCTCTGTCCACGTGCACGGAGGCACATCGTGCGTAGCGTGCCTCCGTGCACGCGGACGGAGGCTCGACGTGCCTCCGTCCATATGCACGGAGGCACGCTACTAAGTTGTCTCCATGCCACACATTCCTGTCTCTGTCTAAATTCATCACTATCCGTGGTGATGCAATGAATAGAGAAGGAAAATAAAAAGAAAGGGGTCATCTATTTCTTGAAATTCCACCATGAAATTTCAGATAATTTGGATGTTAATTTGCTTTTTTCTACTGATCTTTACCAGTCCGGCTAAAGTGAGAGCTGGTGAAATAGTTCATGATGATAATTCGGCTCCCAAAAAGCCCGGCTGTGAGAATAATTTTGTGTTCGAAAGTCTATCATTTTCTTGCTCTTCCTTTCGCTATTTAATTTTTCCTGATCTATCAAAAATGTAGTTTTTATATTTACCTACTCAAGAACCGCTTCTTCTGCAGCTAAAACAAAACCTAAATTTGCGAAGAAATTAGCAAAAGAGAGTTCGTCTACGATTTCTTATTTGATAAATTCATGTGGGCTGTCTCCAGAGAAGGCTATCTCTGTTTCTGAGAAAGTACATTTTGAAACCCCAGAGAGACCAAATTCTATGCTTACCTTTTTAAAGAAACATAGGTTTAGTAGTACCCATATTGCTAATCTTGTTAGGAAAAGGCCTAAGCTTCTTTTATCCAATCCTGAGAAAACCCTTCTGCCCAAGCTTGAATTTTTCAAATCTATTGGATTTTCAAAGGATACCCTTCGGAGCACCATCTCCAGAGACCCTACTTTATTGGTGAGAAGCTTAGAAAATCATATTATTCCCAACTATAATTTTCTGAAGAGCGTGCTTTTGACTGATGAAAAGGTTTTGGCTGCTATGAAGCGAACATCATGGATTTTTCTAGAGAATCCTTCGAAGAATCTTGGTATAGAAGTATAGAAATGGACTCATGTCTCCATCCAAGTGTGGACGGAGGCATCTCATGCCTCCATCCAAGTAATGGAGGCATGGTGCCATGCCTCCGTCCACACTTGATGCCTCCATCCACTTGGAGGCAAACCATGCCTCCATTATTTGGATGGAGGCACGGCGATATCTTCGGAGTTGTCTCCGCCCGCGCAAGAGATTTTTTTTTAAACATTTTTTCCTTTTCATGGGACAAGGCTATATTATGATGTACACTGTTCTTCCTTAATGCTATTCAATAATATCCCATTCAGCTACTGGACATCACATAATAAGTTAAATATACGTGCATATCATTATTTATCTTCAGTGTAAACTCAATTCAAAATTTAAGAAATAAAATATTAGTAAGTCTTCTCAGATATCATCGAAGTAGAATGACCACAGATTATTTTGTATCAGAGT